AGGCCAAACAACTTCAATATTTTTAAATTTTCGCTGGCTACTTTAACCACAATATACTGCAGCCCCATGCTAAAAATGGTGGATACTGTGAGGAATTTGCTGTAGCGTCCTAGTTCATTACTTACTTTCAGTTTTAATTTGTACGTTTTTGATACTATCAATAGATCTAGCATACGTGCCCTTAAATCTTCCCGATTGTTATAGCAACTTCGACTGCTTTGTCTACTATACTACTGCATAAATTGTACATGGTAATGGCCTAAGCTTCCCTTAAATTCACTTCTGGCTATGTGACCCAAGGGCACTTGTGGCAGTGCTGCGTAGTGGTTAATGTATTGAAACTATAAGCTGCACTACCCATGTTTATGTCCCGCTGTGTGCTGATTAGACCTAAGTGAGGACGAAACCGCATTCTTCTTTGGATGCGAATACCTTTTGGAAATAAAGGCTATGTGAAATTAAATAGAACCAGTAGGGAAAATTGAATTTCAGATCCCTCATCACTTTGAACGTAATAAGGTGATTACAGCTCTTATATCGGATACTTAAATTTCCTTTAGTATACACTCACTGACTCCCCATCTTCCACAGATGGTTCCACCATATCTTTATAACTACCATATGGAAATATACTGTCATATGAATTACAAAATACCTATAACACTCATGTGTTCTAATGCTTCTTCAGTTTGTTCCGCTTTTAGTCATTCCTTCATTTGTGAAACTCTTTTTAGCCTTTAGCTGTTCTTTACTGCTCTTCATGAACGAAGGATTTTCCACTTAACGAATGTCTTCTACTTTGCCCACAAATAAACTTCACGCACATATGAATACTCTCCTACTCCTAAATTCTATTTCATCAAATATATACAAACACATCCGCTTTTTAGAACTGAACGTGAAGAAAGCAATAGGTTACGTCGGGAACAGGACAAGGCATATGAAGAATCCTTGGCACGAGACCGTGAGAAAGTTGCAACTCGGGAGGCAGAGGCACGTGCCCGCGCGGAGGCCGAAAAGATGGCCCGTGTAGAGGAGGAACGTGCCTCTCGCGTAGATCGCGCTTGCCGCTTGCGCCACTTGCGTTGGCGAGCACACTTTAGTCGGGAAAACTCTTCGTCGTTACCTCCTACCAACTCGATAGGCTCAGATTCTTCTTCAATAGTACAGCTGCGCATAAAGTTGCCAAATACTACCGTATCCAGGAATTTTTCCATCCACCATTCAATCAAGGCAGGTTAAACATTGAGTTCACTTTTATTTTACTTTTTAGTCCACCTTAATTTCAACAATGTACTTGTCACCAACCTTTTTTATTTAGCTCTATCCACTTGATTTATGCATTAGATCTAGCCATAAAAATCGTGTATATTCATTATTATTCATACTTATTAATTTATTAGGAGATTCTTCGAAGCCAAGCTTCTCATACCTACAAAGGCCATACTATCTTTGATTCATCTGTTGTTTCCCGATGATGTATAGTCGTATTCCTGATCCTATTTTAGATAAATTCTGCCTTGAAATTTTTTGTATATGGAACTTACTGTAAAAATTAAGCCCTACGTTTACTGTTGATATTTTGCCATCACTGTTCACCATACCAGCCGAAAATATGTCTAATTTATAATTAATCTAGTCCCTGATAAACCTCGGAAAATGTGACTAGACTATCACAAAATCGGAAACATACTCCTTCGGAGTTTCACTTAACCTATCATATTTTCTGATATTCTCTCCAACATGAAAACGATTTCTTTCAGAGTACAACCCTATGCTTGAATCTAAAGTATAATAGATCTCTCCATCTTTATATTGGATTCATTCTCTAGATTATAATTTTTGCAAAATCAAAAAAAGATGCACTTTTTTCTACATTCTGGATACCGTTTTTCATAAATGGAGTATTGCTGTGTCCGAAGATAGGGCTATAAACTAAGGATCATTTACTGCAATTTAAAAAATTTACACACTCGGTCCGATGATATATGCTTTTAATTAGCCGACATAACAATTGTGCTTGGCTAGGAATTACCTTAAATTAAGGAAGAGTATAAATTTTAGATGCCATACACGCTCAAGAAATGTGGAAACAACAATTTAGCATTGACTTTACTCGTCTTTTGATGACTAAATGGCTATTCTTCTTTGGGGAAATCTGCCATAGGCTTAGGGAGAAAATGTGTCACTGGACGAAAATTACATTTACATCAGCACGTGTCAAAATCCAAAAGTAAAAGGCGAATATGGACTTATGGCCAGCAAAAAGGCTGGTCATTTATTGAATTGAGAGGCTCACGAATCTTCCGATGAAATAACTAATGTCAAGCCAGATAATTCCGAGTTTTAAATAGAGCCTGATGCTTACTTACACCAACCATTTTTTTGTCAAGAAGGCATCCATCATACCTTTCCATATATTGGTTGCAGAGATGGTAGAGAAAACCAAAGACCCTTTAAATTTAATTTACTGTTAGGCCTTACTTTTAATCAAGATATCCTGTTTATATAAGAGTTAAATAATCGATGCGGTTTATTCCATCTAATTAGTCAATGCCTGCATTTAGTACCCCGTATTATGTCAAAACCAGCAGGCACGGAGATTTGGAAACAGTCCAACTAAAACCCATCCTTTCTAATGATGGACATACGGACTTACACCTCATCAACTCAACTAGGGTTACTTACGGACTAACGCAATCCCGATCATTCTTTTTCCTAACTTCTCTGATAATGGCCAGTTTTTCGTATAGACGATAGCACAAAGAAACACCCGAGTATATGAGAATTAGCCAAACCTTTCTGCATGCATTTGCTCGAATTTTTCATCATGAGTATACATGTCAGATAGGAAAGAGCCGATATGTCTTGACGCTTTTACAATAAGCGTTCCTAGTGCTGACGATGTTCGTTACGAACGAAAGCTCAATCCGTTTTCTCCCAAAATAAGGGTGGATGTCTCATGGACTACATCAAACTGATAGTCGTATCAAAGCCCAGCGGCTGCAGTACAACGGGAATAAGCCGTCTTTTTCCGGTAAGACCGATCTACAAATATCTTCACCATGTACCTCGATACGAAGTAAAGGTTTTGACAATATTCCACCCGGTTGTAACGCTGATCCGGGATGCCTGAAGATTGCTGGATTTGGGACACTTCGGAACCTATTCCTTCTGATGACTAACCACGTTCCAGACTTGACTTATTTAATGTAAGCAAAGATCGCCCCTCATTACACATTCAGAGCGAATAGAGCTCTGTGATCGAGACACCCAGATGCCGACTCACCAATATTATAAGCCACATTTCGTTAATTGGCGGCAAGAACTCACCACCGGCTTCTTTTACCGAGTGACTGGTTTCGCTGCTAAGAGTTTCAGCCTGCTGACCTGCCAGATTCTTCTCCAGGCCTCGTAAACCGCTGACACCCGTCCATTTATATGATGAGCGGTCATAGCGACGGTCGGCCTTGCAAGCCCGTATTACATCAGAGTACACGAAATATGTTTACTTGTCCACGCCTAATGCAACCAACCACACCTCCCGACCAATTTTATTGTAAATCACCCTTTTCAATAGACTCGCTTAACACCAAAATCTTCATTCCATTTCAGATACTTCACTACTTTGTGCTATCACAGGAGGGTTCTCCTCGCCACTTCGAGATCCAGACTAATTTTCCAAAAAGGATATTAGATTGTAAGCCTCCGGAGGAGTCAGATATCGAAGATTATGCGAGCAGCCGCATCTCAGCTTTATCTGAGACCCCAGAAAGCGTAGATGCAGTCAGCGCAGAAGGCGAACAATACGGCCTCTCCGAAACGGACATCGCCAAATTGGGATTGATGGCAAGAAGATCAGAATCAGGTTTTATCGATTGGAAACCATGCACTGGGGATCCATCTTCCTTTGCTGAAGTCGGACTCACCTCTCGCCAAATGGTCTACGTTATCGACAAAGACGCCTGAGACGTGGACCCACATGAACAACTAAGCTTGAGTCTTGGATTTTGCGTTTAGCACTGACAAAATAACTTGTCGTTTGGTTATGTAAGATTGACAAGTGTGGTGCTACTGTAAAGGCAGGAGTAAATCTGTAAACAGGTTCTGACAATAGGCGAGGGGTTGTAAATAGTCATATGAACATGACGTGCTCAGCACCTTGCCCTCTGCATAAAGATTCGATTTGCCTGTACATCCTTATTTCAGACCAGCGCCCTGACTAAAAATACCTTGTTGAAAGTACGGATGAGTTTTGAGAAGATAAAGTTGGTTGTAACTTGTCATTTGGTTATATAGAGAAGTAATAAACGGACGAAATTAAGCACAAAACCAATCCGATGCAATATCTTCTGAACAAAGTGCATATTCACCGAGGGAAATTTTTGATGCTATTATCGACTTCAGAAATGGACTTTTTCAGGGCTGCCCATTGCTCGACGTTCAGGAATACCCCTAAAAGGAATAAATTTAGTACCTGATACCGAATTATGTAGAATTACAACAAGACCCTCAGTGATTACCTTTTTTGCCTGGCTTTAGTACACCAGAGGAGTCATAAAACTCGCGAATATCAACGTAAATTCGACTCTTGAACTCGCGCACAGAGATGTACTTATTGCCCGTTAGATCGATCATTTGGCTACCATCGCTGGGTTTCGTTCGGCCAGATACGGAAGCAGCTACTGGTTTTTTTGTTTTCTTTGGGGATTCATCTTCAGAAAGTGATGACAGAGAATCACCATCACTGTCGCGCTTATGCTTCTTGGAGGACATTCAGAGAGTATCAAGGCGAAAGGACGCGGGAAGGACTGGCCTTATGGGGAGAATAATTAAACAACGGATAAGAATTATTACTAGTACCTTAAAAAAATATTGGTAGTAGTGCTTAAAAAAGCGAACGTTTGGTTTCTAATTTAAAAGATTCTTAGCAGGAGATAAAGGATCGAAAATAAATTTGTGTAGTCTTTTTAAAAATTTTAATAAGCCTTGTCTCCAAATGGTAAAGTAAAAGAATTGCTAAAAAGGAATTATTTAAAGGGCTGAATTTGACTAAAGTAGCCCGTCTATTTCTTCCAAAAATCCTCTGTCTTGAATGTCTTATTCTTGTACTTTGATCTATCATATAGTGGCTATAATCAGACCTGGAAGTAATCCTTGTAATATTTACACGTTATCACTGGGGTAAGAAGATTCTCCTGTTAATTTTAATCTTCTATATATGGTCAACGTAAAAAGAAAATGAATACAAATAGATACACATAATGCTTCTGCTAATTTTCTTTTGTGTTGGTCCTGCTGCCTCATTGCTTTTTGGCGTGTGTGCTGACGTCTATATGCAATATCCGTTCTAAAGCAGAACTATCAAAAACCCTAATGTCAGAATCTTATCATAGTCTTAATGACTAAGGAAAGAGCCATCACAGATACTGTGTGAGATCGTAAGCAATTATGGTTGAGATAATGAGAATTTTATAGGGGATTTGTACAGTTTTCAAAGTAACCCTTACACTTTCTGTGGGTATGCCATTTTGTAGAGATAAATATTATCCACTAGAGTCTTGGCTGCTAAGTGATTGTGTCATCATTTAAGGACCTTATGTTTATGAGAGGTGACAGCCTATTTTGCAATGATTATGGAAACACAAGAAGTGCTTGTAAGGGCAGCTGGGCCCAAATGTTATTAGTTACCAAACATATGGAAAATACTGGATATGAGATAGAATGCTCTCAAAATAGAGGGTTTGTAGATAATTTTACGTTTGTCCTTGAAGAAAGGATAAGTGACATTATTAGAATGAATAGATTAGGGAATACATTGATTCGGAGTAACGCAATAGAAAATTGAGTACGGAATACATATTAGTGTTTACTAGATTTAGGGAGTGATGGTGTTGAGCCGTCATCAAAATGATAGCGACTCGACTTGTCCTCTAAGCGATGATTTAAACTTCACTCACGCTCATAAAACCATGTTACATTTAGCTCATCAATTAAACCTCATGTATGGGATTTTGCAGACCCAGCCATGATCTTATTTAAGTGGTTAAAATATAATGATTCTGTAATGAAAAAAATTGTTACATTCTTATAAGCTTATATCTAGTTATCTT